CTTTTTTTGATTCTTTTTTTTTTTGTCCAGTCAATTTCCCGGAATAGTAATAAGAGGATGATTTTGGTTTTGAAGGGAATAAAAAAGGTAATTTGGGCCTTTTTTTTTTTTTTTTTTTTTTTGCTTTTTTTTTTTGTCCAAACACAGCACACATAATAAAGGGGGATAATTTGGACTTTTTGATTTTTTTTTTGATTTTTTTTTTGATTTTTTTTTTTAATTTTTTTTTGTCCGAACACAGCACACATAGTAAAGGGGATAATTTGGACTTTTTGATTTTGATTTTGATTTTTGATTTTTTTTTTACTTCTTTTTTTTTGTCCAGTCAATTTCACATAATAGTAATAAGAGAAGGGGGTTTTGGTATTGCTCTTTTTGCTCTTTCTGTTTTTTTTTGAGCTTCTTTTTTTGAGCATTTTTTTTTTGTTTTTTGTTTTTGATCAAAGACTTCATTTGCTTTGTATGTATATATGTAAAAAGGGATTTCATACCTTGTCTTAATCCAGAGTCTTGTTCCAGTTCGCAGCTTTGCTTCAATCCAGGTCCAGGTTCCAATGCAGAGTTCTTCCGGTTTGTTCATCTTTTTTTGCTTTTTTTTTGCTTTTTTTTTTTGCTTTTTTTTTTGTTTTGTTTTTTTTTTGTTTTTTTTTTTTTTGTTTTTTTTTTGAGAGAGAGAGGAGGGCTTAGTATAGGCCTCAGGGTCGGATTTCTTTTGATCCTTTTGGAGTGGAGGACTTAATGTGCCTGATCATTTCTGATAGGCTTTGGTCTACGCCTCGGTTTTTGGATTTGATCCTTTTGGAGTGGAGGACTTAATGTGCCTGATCATTTCTGATAGGTTTTGGTCTACGCCTCGGTTTTTGGATTTGATCCTTTTGAAGTGGAGGACTTAGTATATGCCTCAAGTTCGGATTTGGTTTTTGATTTTTGGTTTTTGATTTTTGATTTTTGGTTTTTGGTTTTTTTTTGGAACTTGCTTTTGGAATTTTGCATTGGACCCCTTCTTGGAAATCGACTTGGCCTTGAGACTTGGAGGTACAACCCAGATTTTGGACTTTGATAGAAATGCGCCTCTACTTTTGTATGTATATATGTATGTATATAAGTGTGTATATGTATGTTTGTATGACTATGACTATGACTATGACTATGACTATGTGTATGTGTGTGTGTATTTGTGTGTGTGTGTGTGTGTGTGTGTGTGTGTGTGTGTATAAGAAAGAAATAGAAAAATAGAAATTGTGTGTGTTTGTGTGTATGTATTTGTCTACTTCTCTAATTGTGTACTTCTCTATTTGTTTGTATATGTTTGTGTGCTAGGACTAGTACTAGAACAGTACTTGGACAGTTTTTGGACATTTGGACTTGGACTTGGACAAGACTTGGAATTGGATTTGGACTTGGACTTGGACATAGCAATGGACCTTGGCTTGACTATTTTGGAGATTGTACTAGTGACTATGGGGTTTGATCTGAGATAGAGAGATAATTGTGAGCACAATTTTTTCTGGTCAATATTGTTCTGGTTGTTTTTCTTTTCTTTTTTCTTTTCTTTTTTTTTGTATCTTTTCATTTTCTTTTTATATATTTTTTTCTCTTTTTCTTCTTTTCTTTTTTGACTATCTATCTTGATTTGGCTTTGAATCTTGACAGTGACCTTGAGGGTCTCTGAAAAGCCTTTTTTTCTCTGGTGCGCATTTGGAGCCTGTGTTGTAGTAATACAAAAAATGATTAGTCTATGTCTTGAGATAGTTCACCCTTTTTCACCGTACTTACATTAGCCTTTCTTGTGGGCCGCATTGACGTTTGCTCTGGCGCATACTTTGGCCTCTCTTGTAGGATAGTTAGCCATTTTTGCTGGCACATACTGTGGTCTTTCTTGTGGGCTGGTTGGCCCTTTTTGCTGGCACATACTGTGGCCTTTCTTGTGGGGCGGTTTGCCCTTTTCTTCTGGCACATGCTTTGGCCTTTCTTGTGGAGCGGTTTGCCCTTTTCTTCTGGCACATGCTTTGGCCTTTCTTGTGGGCCGGCGTGCCATTTTTTCTGGCACATACTTTGGCCTTTCTTGTGGGCCGGTTTGCCCTTTTTGCTGGCACATACTTTGGCCTTTCTTGTGGGCCGGTTTGCCCTTTATCTGGTGCGCACTTGGAGCCTGCATTGTAACAATACAAAAACAATTAGATTATGTCTTGAGATAGTTTGGTCCTTTTCCTGACACTTACATTAGCCTGTCTTGTAGGCCTGATTGGTCTTTGCTCTGGCGCATACTTTGGCCTCTCTTATGGGCTGGTGTAGCCTTTTTCTAGGCGCCCTTGTTGGGCTTCTGGTGAGCCTTATCGGCTTTTGACGAGGTGTCTTGAGGACACGACATAGCCGACACCTTTGCGGCAGAAATGGAACCATCGAGTTCCCCGGCAGAAGCAACAGGAAGCAACAGGAAGCAAATGTCCGACCAGTGNGATAAATGGCTCCTACCAGTGAGATAAATGGACC